GCAAAGCTTACCATTGATATTGCTGTCTGTCAAGCTTTCTTGCTGCTTGTCCAGTTAGGAACACCCTACCCATTAGGGCTTTGGCTTGCAGGGTTAAAACAGGGATAACACCCTGCCCTCAGCGACTGCACCATTGGTGGCCACACATTTTTACTCCAGAGGGCGAAAATATGTATGGTTGCCTTCAGAATAGCTTATTAACATACTTAAAAAGGCAGCCACAATGGTGTAGTGGGCAGAGCTGTAGCTTATTGACCAGGAGCTTTTTGGTTTGAATCCCAGTCTTTGCTGAGTTTCTGGTTTCAGCGTGGAGGGAAGGCTAAATTGTCCCCTTGACCTTCGCAATGTTAAGGAGGGCAACATCAGACAGGGTTTCTGCTTTGGTCCCTCTTCAATACCCTCTGCTGGTTGACCATGTGTGCGGCAGCTGGGCGATTCAGAACTTCACAGACCGTATTCTCACCCACACTAAACTCCGTACCCGCATCACACCAGTCCTCGCGAGGCTCCACTGGCTCCTTATCACAGAATGGATAGATTTCAAGATCCTCTCACTCATCTACAAATCCTTCAGTGTCCTGGCACGTCCCTACCTTTCTGACCTGTTTTCTCTCCCACTCCACTACCAACTGCTTCCGCTCTCTGGCCTCCTGCTTCCCCCTCGTCCCCTCCACTCCACCATTGGCAGCTGGGCTTCCAGCTACTAACCCCCGAAACTTTGGAATTCTCTCCCCCAATGTCTGCACCTTGCCCCCTCATTCCCCCTAGATCTGACTGAAGATCGAAGACCTTCCTCTTCGACCCTGCTAATGGGGCGAGGGGGTGTGAGCAAGTGGGGGGGGGGGGGCGAGGGGTTGGCGGTGAGGGGATGGGCGCGAGGGGATGGGGTGAAGGCATGAGGGTGAGGGTGTAGGGGTGAGGGTGCGGGGGCGAGGGGGTGGGCATGAGGGGGTGAGGTCGTGGGTGTGGGGGCGAGGGGTTTGGGGCGAGGCTGGAGGACGGGGGTGTAGGGGCGGGTGGGGCATAGGGGCAGAGAGGGATGAGTCAGTGGGGGGGTGGGTGGTTGAGGGGGGAAGAAAATAAGAATATAATTGGACCCACTGAAAATTAAAAGAGACCCTTAAAGTAAAATACGATAATTTAACATTGAAGATGGAGTTTAGTGACTTACAAAAGTAGCAATAATAGGACTGAATTTACAGAGGTGGAACAATAATTTACTAAGATACTGTACATAAACTGATTCTGGACGTCGTGGTTTGAGAAACAGAAACTCTCCTTCAGGCCGAGGCAGAACCAAGAGGTTGTAAACAGCATAAAGTTCATTGTGTGGCTTCACACACAACTTACATCAGGGGCCGCACCCCTCACTCCCCAAGAACGTCCCAGAAACTAAGTGCTTCTTTCCCACATCAGGCTATTACAAGACATTAAGCTTTGCATCTATTATCTTGGGACCGATTGTTTTAAACCTCAATACAGCAATGTCCAACTTGCACAGTGGTTTGCCAATGCCACCTCATTTATTGCCTCATGTCTCTCCACTGTTAACGTGGCTCCACCTCTGTGTGTCAGCCTGGCGCAGTGGTAGCACTCTCGCCTCTGAGGCAGTAGGTTGTGTGTTGAAGCCCCATGTCGGGATTTGGAATCACATAGTCTAAGCTGACACTCTGATGCAGTGCTGGGAGTGTGTTTCATTGTCAGAGATGCCATCCTTTGAATGAGATGTTTAACCAAAGTCTCATCTGCCTGGTCAGGTGGAGGTTAAAGATCCCATGGCACTATTCGAAAAGAGAAAGGAGTTTCTCCCAGTGTCCTGGCCAACAATCCTCCAAATAGAACAAATTGGTCACTCACTCCATGACTATTTGTGGGACACTGCTGTGTGCAACTGGCTGACACGTTTGCCCACAAAATGCAGTCAATCCACTTTACAGTATATTCTGTGAAACACTTTGAAACGTCTTGATGATGTGATAATGTCCTATATCAAATGCAAGGATTATTATTATTAGATTAGATGTTAAATCAAGGTCCCATTGAGTGCTCTGGGACGCCATGTAAATGCAAGTTGTTGTTGTTGCTTTTTTTCAGGTGGATGATAAAGATGCCACGGCACTGTTCGAAAAAAGAAGAGTTTCTTGCAGTGTTCTGGTCAACAATCCCACAAATAAAAAAATTGTCATTAACTTCATGGCTATATGTGGAACATTGCTGTGCACCTATAAATAAGCAGTGACTACACTTTACAGTATATTCTGTGAAGTGCTTTGAGGCATGCTCCAGACGTGAAAGGCACTATATCAAATGCAGAAACAGACAAACCTCATTGACTTCCCCATCATTACCATGTCAAATGTGTCAGATACAAGTACTCCAGTGAAAGGTTTCAACACAGTTTATGTTGTTCCATTGTGTTTATTGTGAATAAGTATCATTCATTTTGCCCAAACACACAGTCCCTGCTTTGGGACATGCTCCCGACGTGAAAGACACTGTTCCAAATGTAAGAATTATTATGATTAATAAATAATAAAGTTTTGACAAACTGAATGGATTCGTAAATTTTTAAGGTAATGGACAGTTTTGAGGCTAAGACCAGGTGAAACTTCAGACCACAGTAGCACAGTAAGTTACACTTTCATTGCCAGTGTTATGGAAAGCTTGGTGCAGTGTGGTGCGGTGTACTGGGAGAGAAGTGCGTACAGTTTAAGGCTCCCCTGGCATGTTTCATTCAGATACTGCACCCAGGCAGCCCTGAGATCCATTCAGATCATAAATGAAATGAAAGATCACAGCATTGCATTGGGAGCTTCCCTTTATCTCTGAATTCATTACAAATGTGGAAAACAGCACAGCTTCTGTTATTTCCTGGGATAGATGGTGGTGGGATGCATATAGGTTACCTGGTTTATACCCTAATGCTTTGACTTTTTGTGTTGAAACAAGATCCAGGCATTGTTATGTCTAACATGATCAGAAGAATGAAGCACATGCAATGCACATCCATTTGATACAGTGCTGAAGTAGCAAAATCACCAGCAGGTGGTGCTGCAGTGTCACAGTGCTTTGGCAGCTCAGTTCCAAAGCTCCCCCACAGGACTGCAGACAGACAACCTGTGGTGAGTGAGGAGATAGAGGAAAATAGAGGCATAGGGAAATGACAAAGGAGAAAGAAGCCACGATTTTGTTTTAATTAAAAACCTCTCGGGGCTTGAAGATTCTCATGCTCTCAGCCTAGATTTAAGATTAATAACAATAATCGTCCTTGCATTTGGTACATACAGTGCCGTTCACATTGGGAACACGTCACAAAGCCCATTTCAGGATATATTGTAAAGTGTAATGATTGCATGTTTAGTCAAACGCGACAGCTAATTTGCACACAGCAGTGTCCCACAAACAGCAATGAAGTGAGTGAACAATTTTATTTGGGGCATTGTCGGCCAGGACACCGGGAGAAACGTTCTTCTGTTTTCTGAATAGTGACACAGGAACTTAAAAATCCACTTGTAGGCAGACGGGAGCTTGGTTTAACGTCTCATCTGACGGCACCTCCGACAATGCAACACGCCCCCAGCACTGCACATGTGTGCCAGCCTGGACTGTGAGATCAAAGTACTGACATGAGGCTTGAACCCACAACTTTCTGATTCAGAGGCGAGAGTGCTACCAACTGAGCCTGTCTGACACCTTTTAAACTCTTAAAAGAAATTTATAGAAAATTGGCTTCAAAATGCAGGGTGCATTTAAGAACTTACTAAATTCTGGATGCCCTGAAATGCCATATAGAGTAGATCCATACCCAGGTGGAATTTCTCCCCTGTGAATGGCTTATCGAACAGTACTGACATATTTGACTGGAATCTTGCACGTTGAGACGTCTCAACGACGTGGTAAGGCACTGTATCAAATGCAAGAATTATTATTAATAATAACAAATAAAAATCCTTGCATTTAGTATAGTACCTTATCACATTGTCGAGATTTTCAAAGTGTTTCACAGGGTATACTGTAAAGTGCAGTGAATATATATTTTGTGGCCGAAACGCTGCAGCCAGTTTGCTCGGAGCAGTGTCCCACAAACAGTCATGAAGTGAGCAACCAATTTTATTTGGAGGATTGTTGGCCAGAACAAAGGGTGAAACCTCTTTTCTCTTTTCGAATGTTCACACAACACACAGATTTCTGTCTTGAGATGTGGATAAATAGCTCCACCCTGGGAGGAAAGTATCCCTCTTAATAGGGGCAGCCGGTTTGTTAAGTGAAGCATTATGCTTGTCACAGTGGTGGGATGCACCTACTATGGGGAATGGGACACTCCTGACTGATTCTCCGATCCTCAGTGATGTACTGTTCCGGCCTTGGAACACTCCTGCTCTAAACTCCTCTGCCAAGAGTCTGAAAGTTTTGTACTCATAATAATCTTTGCATTTAATTTTGCATCTTTCACCTTAAGATGGGCCAAATGTCCTTCTTCTGTGCCATAAATTTCTCTGGTAAATTTCTATGGGAGGATATCTCAAAGCACTTCGAAGGATAAGCCGTAAAGCCCAATGACTGTATATTTGTGGGTGAACGAGATAGCCAATTTGCGCCCAGCCATGCCCCACAATCAGCCACGGAGTAAGTGAACAATTTTATCTGTTGAAACTCCCTTCTCTTTCCCAATTGTGAAGTAGGATCTTTAACGTCTGTCCATAACCTGGGTTTAATGTCACACTTATAATCATTTACTGCTGACGATTGTGAAATTTGGGGCATTTTATTCTATTGACCTGGCCACAGACAGCAGGCTTTGGGCTGAGTCCCAGTATTGTCACTTCACACTGGAGCCTCACAGCAATGTTTATGTGTGTGTGTGAGGGGAGGGCTCTCATGCTCATCAAGCCAGGTACAATTAAAACCGTTCCTTTAGTCAGCCAGTGTCTGACACACATGAAGAAAACACTGCTGTGCTTAAGAGTATCTGACATACTGGTAGCTGTGCTCAGACACTGGGAGTTCCACATTACATATACTACTTACACATGGACATTTTTTGGAATGGAACGCACACTCTCTCCCTGGAGGGCTGCACTCTGCTACTCAACTCCGGAGAGTGTTAGGCACAGGTTGCTGAGAGCCAAGGCTTTGGATGATGACATAACTCCCTCACTCTCCCCTTCCCTTTCCTGCCTCTGACTTCTGCCTTACACATAGTCAGATATTGGACATTGCCTTCAACATACCTTGTGATGGCATTAAAATCCTGGCAACGCAAACACAACACTAACCATTGACAAATTACACCACAGAACAGTATGTTTCATTGAAGCAGATTCCCGGCCCTGTCTTGTGCTGCTTCTAAATATCTGTTTCCTTCAGTCCGAAGCAGTCTTTCTCCTCGTAGATCTGGTAGCCAGTTTGCTCCTGGCATACGCTGATGGAAATAGACTCCACGGTGGCGTTGCCATCCGCCCTCCTGCTGGGGCAAGCGTGCCGTGGGCCTGTCCTGAGTTTGTTGGAGAGGCTGCTCATAAAACCCAGCTGAGATTTCCGCAAGGAGCTGAAAAGCTTCCAAGAGCCAGGAATGCCGATGGCACTCGTGCCGTTGGTGTCCGTGCTCTCGTTCCCCCCACCCACAACGGCTTGGTGTTCATGGTTAAATATGAAGGAGTTGTTCATCGACAGCATCTCATGGCTCACACCAGCTTGGGACATGATATCCCCCTCAGAGCCCCTCTCGGAGCTGTAGATGGACGAGCGCCAGTGATGGTCGTAGACTCTCCAGACCGGCCGTCTCCGTCTACGACACTGACACTTGAGCAGCCGGATGAAGGCTCTCTTAAACTCCTTGCTGGAGCAGGGGTAGATGATGGGGTTGATGCAGCTGTTGAAGTAGCCCAGCCAGAAGATCACCTTGAAAACTATGTCGGAGGGTTTGAGGAGAGGGAAGAAAGCACCTGAAACACAAAGAGACAACAATGTCACATGGTCACCTGCCACCTCCCTATGCCGGGCATCAGGATTCCTCAATTAAATGCATTCATTTCTTCCTGCATGACTTTGAGCTGATGCTTCAGCACAGTGCCAGGGCACCAGTTGACACTCCAATACAGTGCTTGGGCAGCGCTGCATTGTCAGAGGAGCTATCCTTCGAATGCAATGTAACCCCGGGGTCCAGCTTACTTGTCCTGGTGGATGTTAAAGATCCCATGGCACTATTCGCAAAGAAAAAGGAGTTTCTCCCGGTGTTCTGGCCAACAATTACGCCCCCCCACCACCACCCTGCACAACATGAAAGTGGCCATTCATCCATTGCATAGCTATTTGTGGGACATTGGCAGTGGGGAAATTGGCTGCTGAGCTTGCCCACAAATTACACAATGTAATGTGTAAAGCGCTTTGAGATCTGATGCAAAAAGCGCAATATCAAATCTAAGGATTTATTTATTTGTCATAAAAAGTCGCCGTAATGTCGAGAGGGGCAACTGTAGTCAAGTGTAGTGAAGGAATGCTGATGAGACATCTCATACCGCTTGAAAGAATATACTGTAAAAAGTGAATGACTTTGTATTTTGTGGGTGAAATGCCAATTGCGCACAGCAGTGTCCCACAAACAATCGGGGATCGAATGACAAAATTATTATTATCATTATTTTTGTTTGCAGGGATTATTACTCCCGGAAAGCTATCCTCTAATCGATTAACAATCGGGTTCCTCGTTACTGCTACGTAAACAGAAGCATGTGCAGTAAGGAAACTTGCCTAAGGTTTCGCCCTGCCCGGAAATCAAACCCGGGTCCTCTCATTTGCGAGGCGAGTGTTCTAAGCAATTTGCTATAGGACTCCCTGATACTCACAGGAGGTTATCACCCAATACATTGACCCATTCATTACAAGCACCTGCCTATAACCACATCAAGTCTCTGCTACCGACATCTTACAGGCACTCCCCATTCTCTGACCTAAATCCCCTGCCCAGGTTGGGTGGGCTGCATCAGAGAGGAGTTAGCCCTGTTACTGGCTGGCATTCTTGAAGGAAGAGATCAAAAGGGATGAAGGACTGTGAGCCGAATCTCTCTTGTGATCACTTGGGTAGTACAAATAAACGTCCACCTATAAAACACAGTCACTGCACTTTACTGTATATCTGTAAAGTGCTTTGAGATGTCCTGATGTGAAAAGTGCTTCGTCAAATGTAAGGATTATTCTAACTGACCAACTTTACTATTCTTGTTAATGCCATTTGATGATGATATGAATATTGATATTATATTATTAATAATATTAATATATTGTGTTGATATTATACGAATAATATTTTACGATTATATGAACAATGACATGTTAATATATACTATATTAATATTATATTGTCATATGCAGCAATGTATAACACAGTTCCTATATTTGTGGAGTCCTGTAGCTCAGTGGTTAGAGCACTCGCTTTGCAAGTGAGAGACCTAAGTTCAATTCCAGGCAGAGGGCGAAACCTTGGGCAAGTTTCCTTACTCCACACGCCTAATAATAATCCCTTCAAAAATCAAAAACAATAATAAATTGGTCATTTTCAATCTACGACTGTTTGTGGGACATTGCTGTGCGCAATTGGCTGCCGCGTTCACCCACAAATATACAGTCAATTCACTTTGCAGTATGTTCTGTGAAGCGCTTTGGGACGTCCTCCCGACGTGAAAAGCGCTATATCAAATGCAAGGATTATTATTATTATTATTATTATTATAATCATTGGTGCAACTGGAACTGTTAATAGGACTATTCTAAAATGGCTTGACAACATTCCCGGTGAACAACATTTCAACCTCCTGCAAAAAGTAACTATTTTAGAAAGCTAAGATGTACTAAGAAAAGTAACATCGATTCATATTTAATGTGGCAGTGTTATTGGTCTGACTGCCCACCACTGAAAACCACTCAGAAACTACTTCTACAAAATGATTTAGACTGGAATAGCATAATAATAAATCGGGGTGGTCCATCAGTTTAACATCTCATCTGAAGGACGGCACCTCCGACAATGCAGCGCCCCCCAGCACTGCATTGGCATCTCGTCTTAACGTGCGCACCTTGGCTGCCGCCCCCAGCCCTCCCTCAAAATTCTCCCCTCCCTGCAACTCTCCCGCTCTGTCGTGCTCTCTCCGCCCTCCCCGCCTCTTATCTCTGCTTGAACCCCCCCCCCCCCACCACTGCCTCCCTCTGCTCGAGCCTGGGAATCCTCCGCTGGGCTCATTGCACCACTCAGCGTTGGCCGTCCAGCAGCAGCCACACCGACTGCCCCATTCCCCACTACCGCCGCAAGCCACCCCGGACCCAGAGTGCGGGGGCTAACCTCTCCTCCCTCATCCGCTCCCCCACCCTCCCTGCCAACCAATCCACTAACGCCTCTCATCCCATACATCCCCCTGCCAACTGTCCCTTTTGCATTGGCCTTCAAAACGTCCGCTCCATTGCAATAAGACCCTGGCCGTCAATGTTCTCATCCTCGATGAGAACGTTGATATTGTGGCCCTCACGGAAACCTGGATCACCCCAGGTGACATCTTCCCCCTCACTGAGGCCACACCACCTGGCTACATCTACCACCATGGACCACGCCCCAACCGTCGTGGCGGTGGGGTGGCCCTCATCTTCAGGGCATCATTGGCCCTATCCCCCTACTCTACTGGCTCATTCCCCTCCTTTGAACACCTTACCCTCTGCCATCCCTCCATCTCTTACTAAAAATCCTCTAATATACTGCCCCCCAAATCCTCCCCCACCTTCACCTCTGACATCTCCGCCCTTCTAGCTTCCCTCTGCCTCTGCTCCGACCGCCTCATCATTCTAGGCGACTTCAACCTCCACTTCACCCCGTCTTGCTCCACCTCCTCAGACTTCTCCTCTCTCTTCTCCTCTCTCAACCTCTCCCTCCACATCCACTCTGCTACCCATGTTCATGGTCATCCACTCGACCTGGTGATCACCCGGGGCCTCAGGGTCTCAGATGTCACCATCACCGAAAAGGCCATCTCTGACCACCATTTCATCTCCCTCAACTCCTATATCCCTCTCCCCACTGCCTCCAAACCTACCACCATCTCCTACTGCCCCTGGAAGAAGATCTCCCCACAATCCCTCTCTGCTGCTCTGGAGTCCTCTGAGCTCCTGCCCCTCTGGCCCACCTCCCGCACCAACCCATCCTCTGCATTTACTCTTCTCCACAGCACCACACAGCACAGCTCTACACCACACTCGATGCCCTTGCCCCCCTCACCTCCCGAAGGCCTCCTATTCCCGATCCTCACCCTGGTTCACCAGCTCCTCCGCTCGCTCAAGGGCCCGGTGTGGGCTGCCGAACACACTTGGCTCAAATCCGGCCTAACGGTCCACCAGCACATCTGGCTGGACCACATCAAAACCTACGGTTCTGCTCTCACAGCTGCCAAATCGTCCTTCTATTCCAGGTTAATCCTGGAGGCGAAGGGAGATCCGAGGCTTCTGTTCTCCACCACCAATCGGCTCCTCTGCCCTCCCTGCCATGCCTTACAGATTCTTGCCTCTGACTCCCACTGCGAGGAAATGCTGGACTTCCTCGAGTCCAAAATCAAGGGAATCTGCTCAGCTGCCACTGCCCTCCCAACTTTCACCCCCTTCCTACACCTCCCTCATACTCCGACCACTACCCATCCCTCCTTCCAAACCTTTGAACCTGTCACCCCCTTCCCTGTCATCATCACCATATCCTCCATGAAGCTCACCAGCTGCTCCCTGCACCCCATCCCCACCCCTCTCCTTAAATCCCAGCTCCACCTCCTTGCCCCACTACTCGCCGCCATCATCAACCTCTCCCTGTCCTCTGGCACTGTTCCTACACGCCTCAAAACAGCCACTATCACCCCCACCCTAAAGACACCTTCCCTTGACCCATCACAGCTATCCAGCTACCGGCCGATCTCTCACCTCCCTTTTCTGTCTAAGGTCCTTGAGAGATCCGTTGCCTCCCAGCTTTGCTCTTTCCTCTCTTTTCTCTCCTACTACTGAGCAAGACTGACACACAAATGGCTAGATTTGAACACCACGCATCTCCAGGAGAATTGCTACACTTTCCTGTTTTACAGAAAGGTATTTAAAAACATGCACCTGCTGAGTTAGCAGGTCGCCTGCATTTAATTTAATGGGTCACAAGGCGCGGTTTAATTTCTTCATTTCACGTTCATTTTTTTAATAATAAAGGGGGTGTTTTACGGCCTCTGTCAAACAATCCGATGAGAATCAGAATCACTCACAAAGTCGTGCCTGCTAGTTGCGCTCTGACTGCATCCATTTACAGTGCAGGGAATTGGTGTGAGTTACAGCCCAATCTGCTTGTTTAATTCACACAGTCTTGGAGCTCAGTGCTGTCCTCGATTTGTATCACCAACAGATCTGCGGCGTTAAGTGTTCGACCGTTTGGGATTTGCGTCACAAAGAAAATTCAATGTATCTGCTCGACTCCAATAAATAGCGGGATTGTTGTTATTGAAACCACCATCACAAAAGATTTACCATTGAGTCAAACCAAAGGAATTGGTTGACTTAATAATAATGCCTAAAGCAATGTTGCTCAACGGCTGGTCTGTGGGTCAGTGATAACCTAATTGACTTTTTTTGTGGTTCGACTGATTTCTGAAACATACGGGGCCAAATCTCTGTAATTAAGAGTATTCAATCTAGACTGAGACTTCAACGTATGTATGCCACCTGCACAGGAATGCTCACTTCTGAAGAACGCATCCTGTTCATGTAATTCTGGAAAGTATTCGGCACAGGTTGGCAAGAGCTAAGGTTTGGGGACTCTAGAGTGTGCGTTGGGGTAACTGCTGGAGTCTAATCTACTAAAACTGAATAGTTTGCCATTGAGAGTGCTGTCTGGCAAGCTTTCCCCCTGCTTTTCCAGCTAGGACCACCCTACCCATTAGGG